AGGTCATGAAAATGCTGTTTGCAAGAAGAGAAGTGCTGGTGTCTGAACAAAAGGGAGAACATTATATATCTGTCATGATGTCATCAATCTAACCTTAAGGAACATAGATGATTTACTAGTGCATAAATCAGCAAACAAGTTGCAAAAATTACAACTTCTGGTGACTAGTTTATGAAAATTCTTTAATCATAATAATCACAAACAATGCATACCAAAACAGAACAAAAGACCATCTGTAAGTGAATATCATTACACAAACTTCATTCTTTCAGTCCAAACTCTGGAGAACAGCAACAGTTATAACAAATATGGGTTCAACATTTTATTGACACACGCGTATTTCTGCATCCGTCTGTCCTTATCGTAGGAAGAACAAGAATTCGAGGATTGAGAAAGTCGAAATCCTTTCTTTAGCTCATAAAAAAAAATAAAAAAAAAAAAATTGGCAAAGTCCAAAAATAAGTAAATAAAGAAAAAGATCAAGCTTCATAAACCTTGCACTCCTTATCTGCAGGGCTCGTCTCGCAGAAATCCTCCAATGGATCTCCGCTCCCCTTCACGCTACCCCCCGGCCACTTGTCCGCCACCAGATGAGCCAAATCAACAACCCTTTGGCTACAAAACACAGAAAAAAAAAAGTAAGATATTGTAAAGAAAAAATAGCATTCTTTAGGCACACTCACATACATATAGTTTCTAAAAACCACCCCTCTAATTAGGAGCTTCTAATCAAAGTGTAGCTTCAAACTTACAATATATTATAGATAACACATCAAAATTTAAGACAGAAGCAAACCACACATGTTTTGTACAATTTTGAAACTTTGTTTTGTCCAACCTTACCTTAGTTTCTTGTAAGAAAAAGGTGGCCACAAAAAAAAAAAAAAAGGGATAATGATAATAGGCATATATTTACCTGTATCCCCACTCATTGTCATACCAAGCCACCACCTTGACCATGTCATCCCCCATCACCATAGTCAACGAGGAGTCAATGGTGGATGAGACATCCGAGCACCTAAAGTCAACTGAGACAAGTGGCACATCGCACACGTCCAGCACACCGGCTAACGGGCCTTCAGCCGCCTTCCGGAAGGCAGCATTTACATCCTCGGCCGTGATCCCTTTCTTCTCGACATTCACAACGAGGTCAACCACTGAGACATTTGGGGTGGGGACACGAAGGGCAATCCCGTTGAGCTTTCCCTTGAGCTGCGGAAGGACGAGGGACACGGCCTTGGCTGCGCCCGTGCTCGTGGGCACGATGTTGAGGGCTGCAGCCCGAGCCCGCCTCAGGTCCCTGTGAGAGGCATCCAGAAGCCTCTGCAAACATGCGCGTTTATTTCACTTTTCATTTCTTTTTTTTTTTCGATTCTTTTAAATGGAACGTTCGATTTTATGTTGGAAAGAATTTGGTGAAAACAATCAGAATGTGTTATGTTGTTTTGACTTGAAGGGCATTTTAGTTATTAATACTTACTTTGGAGAACGATTTAGGTCACTTGAAAAAGATTTGTCGAGCAATTTATACCTGATCACCGGTGTATGAGTGAGTCGTTGTCATTGTTCCTTTGACAATGCCTGTAAACAAGTGTAATCACGAGTTAAGTTCGTCGAAACAGAATACAACTAGCACGAGTCTTGTCTTGTGTTTTGCTATGTTAAATACATAAGATGATTGCTGTATTTTTGTCTAAAAAGAAAAAAATATTGACTGTTTCTAAACATTACTCTACATGTACACTTAAGCACGAATAAATCAGACCGATAACACTGAAAAATATAACTTCATGCCATATTTTGGTTGTTCTTGCAGGTGACCTTCCTCAGAGAACAAAAGTTTTTGTAAACAGAACATCTTCTTACCAAATTCCTCGTCCATGACCTTGACGAACGGAGCCAAACAGTTGGTCGTGCAAGAAGCATTGCTGTCGTTATACAAACACAACCATGTCAACATTATGATGTCTTTGTTCAATAATGCTATATTATAAAGAAAAAAAACTCTCAAAACTCTCAAAACAATACATTTTTCAACAGACCTTATGATGTTAGCGACCTTGTGAGAGTAGTCTTTCTCATTGACACCCACAACATATGTCGGGATATCTGCACCTTTTGCCGGGGCTGTGATAATTACCTTTTTAGCCCCGGCTTGAATGTGCTTCCCGGCTCCCGGCCCATCCACAAACACACCAGTCCCCTGTATTAATCTTCATTATTACACTTATTTATCAATCAGTTATCTTTCTGTTTTTTTCATTTCTGTTTTGTTTAACATACCTCGATGACAATGTCGATTCCAAGCTCGGCCCAAGGGAGCTTGAGCGGGTCCCGGCTCGAAACGACCTTGATGGGCTTGCCATCGACGCTTATGGTTTCATTGTCGGCTATTTTCACATCGGCCTTGAATGTCCCGAGCATCGAGTCGTACTTGAGCAAGTGAGATGCCTAACCGAAAAAACAAACCTTTAGCAAACCGAATAAGAAAAAAGAAAATAAAAAAACCAGCAGCATTATATATAAAGACATACGTTTTTCACGCCACCACTATCATTGACGACGATAACATCGAGTGGCGAGTCCTTGCGGCCGTGCCAGCAGCGTAGGAAGTTCCTCCCGATTCGCCCGAACCCGTTTATTGCCACCTTCAACTTGGCAACTGTGGTGGGCCTCTTGACTTGAGTTGAGCCTACTGTCTGAAATTTTATTCTTTTTATGGGTTATGAAAGGAAAAATGTTGAGATCATATTCGGATACTAGTTCATCCGGCTCGATGTTACTTGCTATAAATACGAAAAATCGGTTTATATAGAGATTTTTGGATTGAAATGTGAAAAACAGACTGAACTACTTTATGTAGATTTTTTTTAATTGAAAGTGAAAAAATGGAAGTACCTTTGGAGTGAGCTGTGCAGCCACAGCATCAAAGAAGTAGGAAGAATCTGTGCCATTCTTGGCAAAGGTCACACATCCACTTGACTTCAGCCCAGAAAATTCAGCAAATTCATGCTTCTGTAATAAACAACCAAGAAAAGATCACTATAATTAATAAAAAAATAATAATAATAATAATAAATAAATAAATAAATAAAAATAAATAAATAAACACCTCTTTTTTAAGTACTAGCTTTAAAAAATAATAGAAAAAAAGATTGTGAAAATGACCTTTGAGAAGCATTGAGCAGGGAAAGAGTGTGAGGTTTTGGAGGTAAATCTGGTGCTTGTTGGGATTCTTGAAGAGGCCAAAGCTGCATGGGATGCCATGACTACTGCAACTAGAACAACTCAATATAATTTTTTTTTTTTTTTAAGCTACATATATATATATATAATTTCAAGCAAATAAAATTTATTTAAACCATTTAAAGATGAAAAATTAGATTATGGTTGTAAATGAGTTAAAAGGAGTGAGTGGTGAGGATGCACTTTGCTGAGATTGTTATAAGATAAGATCATGTCATGTGAGGCCACAAATTTGTTCACTCATTTTTGTCTATGTTTTTCATCTCCAAGAGTACCTTTTTTTCATGATTTTTTATTTTATTTTATTTTATTTTTATTTATTTATTTTTTTATTCCATATTCAGCTACTGAGGTGAACCTAACCTGTCTTCCAAGTTTCAAGTACTTACAATGTTTTTTGTATTTTTTTCTTCATTCTTTAGCTGCTGAATAACATCCAAAAATATTAACTTGTGTGAACCAAAATAATACCATAATGCTACAACATTTAACAAAAGCTGACAGATAACTCTTAATTCCACACTATCAATCACTTTTCTCAAGTGTAAGAATTAAGACAACCTTGTAAGATCATTTGAAATGTTTGTACTTTGTAGGGTCAAATAATACAAGCATGAGCAATCAGGCACTGATACCAAGGGAAACAAGAACAAAGTAGAAGAATGGTTGTGGGGAGGCAAAAGAAATCAAAAAACCCAGTGAAGGATCAAACATGCAAATCCCATTTGTTGCACAGTTAAAAGCTCATAAAAGGTTTCACAAGTAAAACACTGAATTCACAATTCACGGTACATTTTTCGCGCTTTTACATCATCCAAATAAAGAAAACTAATAAAGAGGTGGCCAGTTTAAAACTTCCAGAAATAACCCCCGACTAACAAGAAGTCGAGGGGTGGCAAAACATCGGTGTCGCCCAACGAAGGTGTAGTCGACTAATTAAAATTGGGCAGTACATAAAAGAAGGGAGGCCAATTTATTTTGTGAGGCGATGAATAGTGTTATATGACTGCTTCAACGTCACTCGAGATCACAGCCGACCCGTTTGTAGTTTCTCCTGTCATTAACTGATTGGAGATATTATCGATAGCTAAGTTGAGCTGTTCAATCTTCTCAGACAGTTTCTTGCGTTGTTTCTGCACATATGCATAACACGTGTTAACACGAGTTGAAGAGTAACAAACAGCTCGACACAAAAAAAGTTTATTCAAATTCAATAATGCAAGATATGTACTTATGCCAAATCAATTAAATACATCCAAAGATGACGAACATCAATGAGATATTTCCCTCGAGTAAATAATAAAAATTTAAGTCTGACTTCAGCTGATCAAGAAAATGTTGAAATTTGATAACGACGATACGCACCTAGCTATTCCAGTCACTTCCAAAGCTTTTCCATTTTCACAAGTACTTTTTTTTCACTTGGAAGTGGCAGGTATTACATTACCTAATGATTAGTTTGATAGAGAAAATGTGTTTTCTGTTCTAATTTAATCTCATTAGCATTTAGGATGTGTCACTGGCTAATTCGGAGGAAAATTAATCATTCACGATACTCAGCTGTAGAATTTCTTGATGACATTGTAACGAGGCCACAATCTAGAATAAGAAGAGTTTCCTCCTGCTAAGTAACAAGAGCTGCATACCTCCAAAGCCTTTTCTTCATCATAGATGAACTTTGGCAGTTTTCTCATGAGCTCCTTTGTATCAGCTCCAGTTAACGCCTTGCTAATCTGTTGAAGAGGAAAATATACAAATATATCGGCTAATTTTCCTAAAATTGGCTTTGGCTTCAAACCGCAGCAGACAAAACGGATATCACAAGGACAACAGAAATACAACCTAGGTGAGGATTACAGGAAGTGAGCGAATAAAATGAATCTGCAAGAAAGGAATCTCCATTGCATTTTTAAAGCAATTGCTAACATTACCTGAGGTGCATAAACACAACCAAGTGCGCCCACAACTATTCCCCCTAAAACAAAGCCACCGACGAAGATGCCTGCGGTGTTTGGCCTTCCGCCATCACTGCCATAAAATGCAAAAAGTTACAAGAAATCTTTAGAATATTTCACAGAGAGAGTTTAATATTGAAGAAGTTATGGTCTATCTTATCTTTATTAACTCACTGATTTATTCATTCCAATAAAACTTTAATGCAGAACTTCTTATTCACGATTCAAAGCTCATAAAGATTGCTGCAGTGTGTATATTTATATTAGCAGTGGTTATTGTTACTGTACTGTAGTTGCCCTTCTTCCGGACGTTGTATTCCCAAATGGTCAAAATGGGATTTCGAAAATAGATTGCAGCTTCCCAGAAAATTGGATTTAGTTTTCTCAGTGTTTTAAAACCCAGCCTAGACATTGTCCTGAGCATATATTCGGGGCTCTAGGTCAATTGCAGAAAAGGATAATTAATTTTTAAATTTCTAAATATTATAGGTATACTCATTGTTTCTTATAAATATATACAAAATTAAATTTATGTGTAATTTTGTACTACAAAGTCTTCGTATCATTATTCATAGTCATAATAAATATTTGTTATGTAAATGTTAGCAAATAATTTAACTTAAAAAACCAGAGGAGCTGGGGAGTGTTGAGTGGGTCGGCCCGGGTGTAAATGACCAGGTCGAGCGGGTCACGGTCATGTCTAGTACTGGACACGTGGCCAGGACCAACAGGTCGACCCAGCGGGCTCGGCCAGGTCTTGAAATAATGAGTTATATCACTAGTGAAAACCAAAAGATATTCACGGAATTTTTTGTAGAAAAGAAAAGGAAAATGAAAACCAATTAACAACCATGAATCCAGATATAATCAGCTTTCAAGAACATACTGACCCGTAGGAAAAGTAAAATAATTTGAAATACCTGTAGCTTGCTTTGACAACAAGTGTCCTATTTTTTGCAGACGATCTCTTGATACCCTGAGAACTGAACACCAAGCTGGTGGGCCCCACGCATTGATCTGCAGACTTGAAGAAAGAACCTAAAACAGGCAATACCAGGTAATATTGCAAGTCAGCATAAAAGTCGAAGAAGCTAGATCGACGTTGTATCTTCCGAAAGTTTCTCCTAAGACATCATCAGGACCAAAAGGTGAAGTTCCTACCTTAGACAACCCCTATGTTAAGTCACTATTCTCACAGTTTCCTACAAGCACGATTTCACTGAAAGCTAGATAACTGTATTTCTTAAGTATGTACTACTGGTGATGCAATGTGATGCCCATGGTCTCCATCGTGAGTGCAATTTTTGCAAACGACCCTCGGACATCATTTATTTTACAGGAACACCCAATTTGCAAATGATCCTCTGACATCATATATTTTACAGGAAAGCACATTACTTGAGAAAGCTTGGGAGAGGACTATGCCAAAAGGAAACAAAACAGTTTGTTTCGAAACCCCCCACTCCAGTTTAATTAGAGTTTTTCTCAATCTATATCAAACCCCAAAGAAATAGAAAGGAACAAATGCCGCCTCATGTAAGTGGCTCAAAATCCAATACACAACTTGTAAATTACAAGTACCACCTGCAATAGAATTAGCGCCGAGTTCCTTCGCGTAACCAACTTCTCCCAAAATCACATAAAGCCAATCTTATGACATCTACCCCGTCTCATGCTAAAATCATTTCCAACCCCTTTACTCTTTTCGGGCCACCGTAAATATAAAGACATCATTTTGTGGACAGGCCTTAGCTCACTCATATCTCCAACTATACTACGAGTCTATGAGCATATATATGCCAGCATACAAGAGAAATCTACACATTAAACATTCATCAACAACTAAAAAATGAGGCAAGCTGTGATTTTGAGTGAACCCTGATACCCGTAAAGGTTCTCACATATAAGTTCCTCATCAAAAAGAGTCGAATTTGCAAGAAGCAGGGAAATTGCAGAAAATAAATAAATAAATAAATAAATCTGACAGGAACTCATGGTGCAAAATTGAATCTTTTCAGCAGGGTTTGTTTTATTTTTTACGTTTTAATACAAAATCTGGATAGATATCGGAAAAGGGTTCACCTGAAGATAGTGAGATCGAAGGGCTTTTCGAGATCACGACGGAGCTGGATAGAGCCGCCATTCTGCGAAAGATTCACGGTGGGTTTGAATGTGAAGCTGCCAAAAAAATCAAGAACAGAGGAAAGTGATGAACTGAAATGGTGGAAGGGGAAAATTTGGTATTTTGTAATTTTTTTTTTTTCTTTTATTTTGTGTCGATGAGATCGAGGATACCAAACGGCAAAGGTTAAATCCACCGGAAAGTGATAACGCAATTGTGACGTTTTTTTTTTTTTTTTTTTTT